ATATGGTAATGATATAACTTAACTTTTAATGATGTAAATATCAATAAGTTAAGTTTAAGTTGTATTTATTCAGGATTGGCATTAAAAAACCCGCCCAAAAAAACCCGCCCAATAAAACCCAAAAAAACCCGCCTAAAAAAACCCAAAAAACCCCTGGAAAATCTGGGTTTTATTGGGTTTTTTTAAAGATATTTAATAAGTTTATGAACTATTGTAACCAACTTTAACATTATAACTATAATATTATTTACTAAAATAATTATTAACTATTATTATTAACTTAATTATTATTAACTATTATTATTAACTATTATAACCAACAATAACAGCTATCAGAGCAGGTTTACTATTATTTGAATCATTATTTGGAAATACATTATTACAATTTTTATTCAAATATTTTTATCGATTGAGATTTTTATTACTTTATGTTGTTCACCTCCCAAGTTGAATTTAAATGAGTAGTAGTGACCAGAGAAGCCAACACAACAGTCGAGAAGGCTACCTTGTTGTGGTTACAACCCTCTCTCAACTCTTTTGCGGTAGTGGTGTTGTGGTAGAGCGCTCACTTCATAAGTTAGAGGTTCTGAGTTCAATCCCCACCACGTCCCTGGCAGTACCGCACTCAACTCCTTTATCCGCGCAGCGGCCTTGTTTGTCAAGGTTCGTGTTTCGGAGTTATAGAGTTGAGAGAGGGTTATAACCACAAATAAGTAGCCTCCTCGCCTGTAGTTTTGACATATGGTCATAAGCTTTGAGGAGGTGAATTGATTTAAAAAAAAAACAAACTCTTTAACTCCTAAACACGAATCTTTATAAACAAGGCTGCTGCGCAGAGGAACAAGTTTGTTTATTTGAATTTCAAGTTCAAAGTTTAATTGAAACTTCAGTTACTACCTCCCATTCTCAAGCCTTCTTTTTCACATTTTCTCATTGACATTTTTAATTATATAGAATAATACTTTTAAATTTAAAATAAATCAATACATATAGATTAAGCGTGAAATTTTTTTTTTCTATTACAGTTTTAAATTATACTTAAAAATCTTTTTCAAAATAATTTGAAAAATTCTTGTTATAAATAATTAAACAACAATATATTAAATATATTTTAAATAAAGTTAAAGTAGAAAAAAACTAATTTTCAATATCGTTAAACAAAAACACAAAAAAATTTTTTACAGAGACAAAAAAAAAATTAAACCCAAAAAAACCCAAATTTACCCAATAAAACCCAAAAAAACCCACTGGGCTGGGTTTTTTTAAAAAACCCGGGTTTTTGCCAACCCTGTATTTATTACTGTTACTTACTTTTGTTACATAATAAAATTTCAAAGGCCTGTATAAGCTTGCTTCATATTGTATCTGGGAATGTTTTTGAGATTTTCAAATTATTTCTTTCTATGCGATTTTTTTTTTCCCCCCCCCTAACAGAAGCTTTGCAGTTATTTAAACATCACCGCCTCAAAATTGGGAAAAAGCAAATTTTGAAAACTGCGCCCACACAACATCTGCTACAAAATCTCAGCATAATGTTAGTGTTTGAAGTTTGCATTAAAATATGCAATTTAACTTATATATATTAACAAAATCAATTTAGGTGCTTTTGATCAAAGTTGAATCTTAAATGATATGTAATTTTGTTTGTAAACTGTACATATGTGCTGTATGCAAACTGTTGAATAAATACTTGCAAACTGTGAATATATTTGACTTCAAATTAATCAAACTAAAACATATGCAAGTATTGAAAAGATTTTATAGAAGTCTACTGTAACAAAACTTATCCAGCCATATCAGAGATGCATGATAAATTTATTAAAAACACATTTTAAAAAAAAAAGCCAATCAACAGTTTTATAAAATTGAAGTAAGCTACAATGAATATTTCTGAATTGAACAAAGCTACAATGAATTATTTCTGAAACTGCTGTAATCCAAGTTGACTGGGCTGAAAACGTGTTTTCATAACAAAACAACATTAATATAATATTTATCTGCTGGTTTTCATTAAACGAAACACTATTTCATTACACTGAAATAGTGTTTATCAAAATAAACCATTTTTATCTATGATTTTTTCTTTCGGTTGTTTTACTAAAAAAAAGTTGATAAAAACAGCAAAGCAACTCTGCTCATTTTGACTAAAACCAAATTTCTTTTATTTGCACAAAAAATATTTACTATAGTTTCTGATACAACTTATCATATAAAGCCTTTAATTATACTGCACATCAAAAAAATTTTTCACTATATGTCCTAAATTCCTTTACTCCTTGAGTCAAAGAAATACACAGAACAATGCCTCTCCTCAGTTTGAAAAAAAAGGAACTTTATTTACTTTTCTCTTTTTGCAGCAATGCATGGGAAAGGAGTGGTTGACAAAATTGGAGCAACTGTTAAGCGAACTGCAGTTTGAGAATTAAATAATAAGCATTACAAGATTTGCAAAGATCTGTAATTCATATGTCAGAAAGCAATACAAGTCAGCAAAAACCTGGATTTAGTTCCATTTTAGGTTATTCAAGAAAAATTAAAGTTATATCAAAATCACATTGTTGCCAATTTCATCTGAGCAAAATTAAAGTTTATAAATAACAAAATTTTTTAAACATGATTTTAATTCCACCTTTTGTTTCATCACTGAATATTATGCCATTGACTGACAGATTTTTTTCTGTAAAATAAATCAGTATGATAAATTATTTGATTGTGGGTTTTATTATGACTGACTGAAACTTCTTTGAATGTAGATTATATTGTGATTGGCTGGATTTTATTATTGCCAAACAAATTAAATGACAACACCAAAATCTAATTACTCAAGAGGTTTCAAAGAAATTTCTGTTTAAAAATATGCTATTAAAAAACTGCTGTTTTTCCACTTTTTTTAATCTTGAATTAGAAATTTCAAAATTATTTTAGAGTAATAACAAATTTTTTTTTGAGTTTAATATTATTTATTAAAATTTATTAAATTTTTATTAGAGATAATCTCTCCACATTATACTTCACTGAAATATGGAAATGCCTTACATATTTGAAAAATTGTTAAAAACAAAACAAAAACAAATTAATTCAATAGTTTCTTTTTATTTAAAAATCAAAATCTTTTAGAGAATTTTTATTGTTTTATGCAAAATTACCAAGGCAATCTTTTTGAATGTTCTGCTATCTATAGCAGAACATTCAACATCAGCTATAGCTGAGTTTTGCCATTTTTCTTTGAATGTACTTTTTTGATGTTGGTAAATAGAAAATGAGATGTTTCACCTAGAAAACATTTTTTGCAGGAGTATTCAAGTTTGTACACACCTTATTAAGAAGTTATAGGAAGAGGAGGTGTATTTATTTGGTAAGTATATAAATTTTATGCTGATTTAAAGATTGGTATGTAATCTGCTTTTTTGAAATTTTTTTTTTAACTTTGGACCTGAAATCCAGGGTAGTAATACAATATTTTTTAATAAAATATATAAATGTTGAGTTTCAATATATTTTTTATTATGTAAATTCTCTTTAGTGGTTTTTACAATGTTTTCCAGGCTTGTTTTTTTTATAACCATTTTCTACAAAAACATCAATTAGAAATACTCTAGAAAAACTCTTGTTCAATATTATTATCAGAGCATAAATATAATGACCTATAAACTCTCTTAAAGACTCGATTAACAATTTTTTAGTCATGGTACGAGTTAGGTTTGATTCGAATGCTAGTTATGGCATCTATATTTTAAACTTTAAAATTGTACCAGTATTATTGTTAATAATAGTTATTTCAAGAAAGTTCAGCGTGTTATTTTCAACTTTTGCAACTTCTATGATGAACTGATTATTTTTATTAGATTATTAAGTAATTCTAAAAAAATATTTGCATCTTCAGTAGAGTTAAACGGGAATTGAAATCATTGACTTATCTTTTAAACAACTTTTACATAAATATTATTAGAAATTGCTTATGCCATAGCATTGCTTTAATAAAACTCTAAAAAAGACTCCACAACTACTACTCTAAGTCCAATACTAATAGTAATAGGTATAGAATCTTCAAGGTCATAAATGTTATGAATATAATCTAAATTTTTTTTTGTTTCTATTTCATCACAGGTTTTATGTGAAACATCATTTTTAATTGATCAATAATTATAATTATTGCTTCTTATACTTCGACCAAAGGAAATTAATGACTTCAAAAGACACTTGAATTAATCTTTGTCAATATTCCATGACTTAGCCAAGTTTATAAATTGTTGAGATTTTTTTAAAATGTGTATTGTTCTTATTGAAGATGGGTTGTATCATAGTTTGAAAATTCAAAATTTTTTGTGTAGCCATTCCTATGGTATTTACCATAACTCTTATTACATTTAAAATATCTTTACTTTGTAATTACAGCTAACCAGCTAATTTTGATGACATAAACCTTTTTTTATTAAAACATATTTACTTTGCAATCACAGCTAACCAGCTAATTTTTATGACATAAACCTTTTTTTTTTAAAACATATTTATAGTAGCCTAAGTATTAGGATAACAGATGATTTTATTGTTTAAACTGTTTTTACTAATTTATTTTTACATTGTTGATATTTTTTATTTAATCATTTATATATTCAATATATATTATTTTAGAACTATTATAAAAATATTTTGATTCGTATTATTACTAAGTTTAAGCACAATTGACTTTATAACAAAGTGAAAAAACTGATTTCCCACTTTTATATGTCAGAAATGACCAATATTAGTGTTAGTACTCATCCACATGTGAAACTAACTTAAACATGTTTTTTTGTATTAATTTTTAATGCTACTTTATTAAAAATAAAGTAAAATATTTTGAACTATACAGACTTTGAATATTTGGACTTTGAATATGGACTTTGAATATTTACTTTTTCTCTAAACTTCAAAATTTCTAAATTAAATCATTTGGATAAAAAAATAATGATAAAAAAACAAAATAGTAAACAAATTAAAAAATTAAAAAGTATTCTTACCAACTCGAGCAATAAGCGTATAACCTTCACCAAATTTATTCTTTAAGTGCTGTGGACTACCAATACATTTAAACTGTCCGTTAACCATAATAGCTAATCTTGAGCATAATGCTTCACATTCCTCCATACTAATAAGAAAAACATGCCAAATAAAAAACAAAAAACAAAAAAACAACACTTGTCTAATTTTCTTAAAAGCATACAGTAGTATATAAAGTAGTATAAAAAACAGTGGTTAACAAAAATATGAAGTAATCCCATTAGAAAATTTTATACAATATAAACAAAAAATTATATTATTTATAAGAATTAATAAAGTAATATTTATCTAGAAATTTATCTAGAACCATTAACTATTTAATCACGTAACAACAGTACCAAAATTTTTTAGGTTTTTAAAAACATTTTCTAATAATAGGATATATATATATATATATATATATATATATATATATATATATATATATATATATATATATATATATATATATATATATATATATATATATATATATATATATATATATATATATATATATGAAAGTATTTATATACAAATTATAAAACTTAAGTTTCAATTTCAAGATACTAAACCTAATGCTAAGCCCTAACTTAACTTTAACTATAAAATGTAAATGAAAATAAAAATCTAAAAAAAGTGATTCAGAAAAGCTAAAACAATATGCTAGGCACTAATTTTTAAGTAATGTTAAATAAGATAAAAAATACTTTAAATAACTCATTTAATACATCAATTAAGTACACATTTAACACTCATTTTTATTACTCATTTAGTAATCATTCCTTATTTTTTATTTATCAAAAAAAAAAAAAAATAACTAAAAAACATACAGATGTGATGTTATAACAATCGACTTGCCAGACTTTAAAACTCGAAATAAAGAATTCCACAACATTCGTCTTGCTGTAGGATCCATTCCTGATGATGGCTCATCTAAGAATATAAGTGGTGGATCACCTGCAAGGGCAATTGCTGTGCATAGCTTTCTCTTATTACCACCACTATATAAATATATATATGAAATATAAATATAAATGAATAAGTTATAACAAAATAATAAATTTTATTAAAAAATAAAATTAAAAACACAAAACAAAAACAGAAGAATAAGTGTTATTATAAATAATAATCTATAAAAGCATAAGTTAAAATAAAAATACTAAACAAAATTTAGTAAAATAATTAGTAATAATAACTAATAAACTAATAGATTATACAAAAAAAAAAAAAAAAAAAGGAAAAACCCAGTTTAATTCATACAAATTTTGTATCAATCAAATTCAAAATAATATGAAAAAACTAGTGCATTAATTTGTATAGCTCGGAAAAATAAAATTAGTTATATTTTTCTTTGTACATTGCGCCTAGTTTTTCTAGTCATATTTTTCATGGCACATTGCATCTAGTTAATTAGGATAACATTTAAAAAAATTAGTCATGTGTTTCTTAAGATTACTAGCTCATTAGGATAACTTTACAAAAAAGCATTTGTTGCTCAATTTATATAAATAAGAAACTAATTACTAGCTGATATCAAAATTCAAAACTCTTTGAATAAGAATATTTTTATAAAACATCATTGTAAACCTAGTAAAACAACTTGAATTTATTGAAGAGAAAAAAGAAAGAAAAGAAAATACTGATATTCATTAAGAGTCATATGATATGATATTACTCACAAAATAAATACAAAATAAAAAATTTTTCAATTCAAGAAACAAAGTAGAATGATCAAATATTTGCAGGATACTTTAAACAAATCTGAATATGAGATTTTGAATGACATCATTGTAATATAAAAGGCAAACTTCTGCAGTTCTAAACACCATAAAGTTTATAAAAACTAAATTGCTCAAATTTTATTTCAAACTTGTGTTTACCTTCTATTTTTTTTCTTCTATGTTTTTAAAAACATAGTGAATGTTTTTAAAAACATGGTGAATGTTTTTAAAAACATGGTGAATGTTTTTAAAAACATGGTGAATGTTTTTAAAAACATGGTGAATGTTTTTAAAAACATAGAGAATGTTTTTAAAAACATAGTGAATGTTTTTAAAAACATGGTGAATGTTTTTAAAAACATGGTGAATGTTTTTAAAAACATAGTGAATGTTTTTAAAAACATAGTAAATGTTTTTAATAACATAGTGAATGTTTTTAAAACAATATAAAAATTATATATATAACAATTAAAAACATAGTGAATGTGTTTACCTTCTATTTTTTTTCTTCTATGTTTTTAAAAACATGGTGAATGTTTTTAAAAACATGGTGAATGTTTTTAAAAACATGGTGAATGTTTTTTAAAACATGGTGAATGTTTTTAAAAACATGGTAAATGTTTTTAAAAACATGGTGAATGTTTTTAAAAACATGGTGAATGTTTTTAAAAACATAGTGAATGTTTTTTAAAACATAGTGAATGTTTTTAAAAACACAGTGAATATTTTTAAAAACATAATGAATGTTTTTAAAAAC